TGGGATTACAGGCGTGAGCCACCGTGCCCAGCCTAAATATAATTTAATTTTAAGAAAGGAGTTTACTAATCCAGCTCTCAAAACCATACCATTGACAGGGCACAGTGGCTCACGCCTGTATTCCCAGCACTTTGGGAGGCTGAGGTGGGCAGAGGTCCAGAGGTCAAGACCAGCCTGGCCAACATGGTAAAACCCCATCCCTAATGACAATTTTAAAAAACTCGCTGGGCCTGGTGGTGGACGCCTGTAGTCCCAGCTACTTGGGAGGCTGAGGTGGGAGGACTGCTTGAACCTGGGAGGCGGAGGTTGCGGTGAGTCAAGATCACGCCACTGCACTCCAGCCTGGGCGAAAGAACAAGACTCCATCTCAGACAGACAGACAAACAAAACCCTGTCATCAGAGTCATAGTTTGTGAGTAACAGCCTCCACCTTAACATACGCTTGCTTTCTCAATATCAAAATGTTTTTGAGGCCGGGCACAGTGGTTTATGCCTATAACCCCAGCACTTTCGGAGACTGAGGCGGATGGATCACTTGAGGTCGGGAGTTCGAGACCAGCCTGGCCAACATGGCAAAACTCCATCTCTACTTTATGCAAAAATTAGCCGGTGTGGTGGCAGCTGCCCGTCATCCCAGCTACTCCAGAGACTGAGGCAGGAGGATTGCTTGAACCGGGGAGGAAGAGGTTGCAGTGAGCCGAGATCACACCATTGCACTGCAGCCTGGGCGATGAGAGCGGAACTCTGTCTAAAAAAAAAAAAAAAAAATGTTTCTGAACAATATAAAGCCCTGTAGACTGATGACAGAAGAAGGGTAGCATTTGTTACAGAGGTAGTCTATACATGTTGTTTTCCTTATAAATAAAAGACATGATTTGACTTTAGAAAAGTCATTACTCAAACGTGATTTAACATCTGTGATGGCCGAGGAGCTGTGCTCTGTACTAGGAATTTACATTGAACAAAAGCTCTTATGGAGCTAAATGGTCTGTTGGGAAGGACAGATGCTAAACAGTAGTAACAATAAAACGGGATGTGTTCTGTCTTTGGGAAGGTACAGTGTCACCACGTCAGTTGTATGGGGCTTTATCTCCTATCTCTTCACTCAGTGTGGGAATATTTAGAGCTGCCCACAGGCCTTCACTTGCTAGTGTATAGTTTCTGGGGCCGTACACCAGGTAGTTTTGCTCCTGTTTCATGCTCAGTGTGGTTCTATGAGGGAGCCTGATCTGGACGCTCGCAGGCCAGGCTTTCCTTAGACCTCACACCAACTTGAAGGTAATTTGAGTCTGCCATCTGCTCTCTGCAAACTTTAACTTACAAAAAGCAGACCTGTCTTTACTAACCCAGAGGACATTTGCCATATGGCAGGTTAGGCAAGAGATGGTGGCTCTGGTTAAGGAGATTTGAAAAGGATTTTCTGATCAGAAGGAAACTAAGCAACCCCTTTTGGCCAAAAATAATTGACCTTGGTAATGGTTACCAGGGAAGGCATTTGGATTCAATTAGAATGCGTCATGAAGCATGGAGAGCTTCAGGGCTATCCTATTTAAAATGTCTAAGCCAAATAAAATTTGGAAGTGGAGTTTGTTCAAATCCTCAAGGAAATTACCATTTGAATTTTTAGAAAGCCTTGAATATTACAGTGGAATCATTAGGCCAGGATCTAAGAAAATTGGCTGGGTCTTTCAGATATCTGGCTAAAGACAGTAAAGATTATAACAAAAATTGGACATAAATGGATATTTATGTTTTTGATGCCAAACTTCTGGCAGGCCACCATCATATGAATTGTTAAGTTATTATGACATTAGGATGTTTGAGAATGGCTGGCGACTGTTTCTCTAGATAGCATGTATCTCTCTAGGTTTATGGTTTCAAACATGAGGTGTATTGAAATATATTTAGGTCACTCGTATAGCTACTGAAAGATACTTCTGATTTATAACATATACAACTTGGGTTTTTAGGCATTCTCATTTTATATGGAAAATGCTTTGAAGTTTAAACTTTTTAACCTTTTTTTTTCTCCTTAGGAAAATAAAGCAACCAACACAGACCATTTAACCACGGTACTCTACCTCCAGCTTGCTATTTTTTCAAGTCTGCAGAACTTGGAGAAAACAATTTTCTGCCTGCAGAAACTGATTTCTTTGCATCCTTTTAATCCTTGGAACTGGGGCAGATTGGCCGAGGCTTACCTGAATCTGGGGCCAGCTCTTTCAGCAGCACTTGCGTCATCTCAGAAACAGCAGAGTTTCACCTCAAGTGACAAAACTATCAAATCCTCCTTTCCACACGCAGGAAAAGACTGTCTTTTGAGTTTTCCTGAAACCTTGCCTGAGAGCTCTTTATTTCCTGTGGAAGCCAATAGCAGTAATAGCCAGAAAAATGAGAAAGCTATTACAAATATCCAAAACTGTATGGCAGAAAAGAGAGAAACAGTGTTGACAGAGACTCAGCTGAAAGCATGTGCCTCTTTTATACGAACCAGGTAAGCTGAGAGTCGCTTAAGCAACGCTTGGCAATGAGCTCGGAGTAAAGGCTTTATTTTCTAATTTTAAGCTTCAAAAAGTTCTAGGTTAGACGTTTGGTATATATTTTTGAATTTTTCCTATGGTTGTGTTGAACGTTTGTCATTCTAATACGTAATACTTGGAAACAAAACTACATTTGTTTAAGAATACAACCTATGGTGGCTGGGTGTGGTAGCACATGCCTGTAATCCCAGCATTTTGGGAGGCTGAGGCAGGTGGATCATTTGAGCTCAGGAATTTGAGACCAGCCTGAGCAACATGGTGAAATCCCATTTCTACAAAAAAATTTTTTTTAAAAGTTAACTATGTGGGCTAGGCGCAGTGGCTCACGACTGTAATCCCAGCACTTTGGGAGGGCGAGGTGGGCAGATTACAAGGTCAGGAGATCGAGACCAGCCTGGCCAACATGGTGAAACTCTGTCTCTACTAAAATACAAAAAATAGCTGGGTGTGGTGGCGCGTGCCTGTAATCCCAGCTACTCAGGAGGCTGAGGCAGGGGAATCGCTGAACCCGCGAGGTGGAGGTTGCAGTGAACTGAGATTGCACCACTGCATTCCAACCTGGCGAAAGGGCAAGACTCTGTCTCAAAAAAAAAAAAAAAAAGTAACCAGGCATGGTGGTGCATGCCTGTAGTCCTAGTTACTCGGGAGGCTGAGATGGAAAGATTGCTTGAGCCTGGAAGGCCAAGGCTGCAGTGAGCTAAGATCACACCACAGCACTCCAGCCTGGGCAACAGAGTGAGACTCTGTCTCAGAAACAAAAAGCAATATAACCTGTGTCATTGCCCAAGATGGAATGTTAAGATTAGAAAACATTAAAAATTAGGAAAATAAAAATGTATAAAACACTGAAAAAGGGAGAGGAGATATTTTAAAGAAGGAATTTTCTGTTTATATGTTCCACAGAAATCTAAAGAAGAAAATCAGCTCTTGTGTTTGCATTGCTGATAATGGGAGTAGATGATGCTTAATTCATTCTCTAGAGAATTCCCATGGTTTGTGCCTAGGGTTACCAAGTACTTTTCATCCTTAAAGTATAAGAGTTTGAGGGAAGGGTGGGGAGAATACACTGGACCAGTTCTATAAATGATGAGAGAAGCAGCAGATTCTCTCATGTTTCAAATGGTACCAAAGAATGTACAGATTTTTCAACTCAGGAGGATTCAAGAAGTATTAATAGGCTTACTGAGAAGTGGTATCTATTTGGCAAATTTTTTTTTATTATTTTTTTTTGAGATGGAGTTTTGCTCTTATTGCCCAGGCTGGAGTGCAGTGGCGCGATCTCAGCTCACTGCAACCTCTGTCTCCAGGTTCAAGCAGCTCTCCTGCCTCAGCCTCCTGAGTAGCTGGGATTACAGCTGTGTACCACCACACCTGGCTAATTTTTGTATTTTTAGTAGAGACGGGGTTTCACTGTGTTGGCCAGGCTGGTCTCGAACTCCTGACCTCAGGTGATCCACCTGCCTCGGCTTCCCAAAGTGCTGGGATTACAGGAGTGAATCACCGTTTCCAACCCTATTTGGCAAATTTTAAAATGTATTCAGTGGATGCTTGTTTAGCATTGACCGTGTAACTAATTCAGAGGCACATTGAATGACAACTGTGTGCCAGATATGTGCTTGGTGCTAGGATCACAAAGATCATTTAAAAAGCAGTCCCTTTCCTTATGCCACTCACTGACTTAGGGAAATGGTATGTCTAGCCAGTAGCTGCCAACACAGGTGCTAAATAGTGTATCAGTGCTGTGAGCAGAATTCTGGGGGGACCAATGTCAGGGAGCTCTTGGCATGGCCAAAAGAAGGAAGCCTTTACAGAGGGGTGATGCCTCTGCTGAATGAGCCCGGTAGGAACCCTTGTCAGTTGACCACTGAGTGCTAGATGCTGTGTATACATTATTTCATTTTAATCCTCATGACTCTGGGGTACCTATTGGGATCCCACTTGATGGACCAGGAAACTATTAAAATCATTCCCAAAGTAGTGCAGCTGTGAAGTGCAGGACCAGGATTTGGAGCTGGTCTCCGATTCCCGACCCTGTATTCTTCCAGCTTATCTTGCTCGCTCCACGTTAATATTCCCCATGTGGAAAGAGGCGTGCTAGGTAAAAAGAAAGCAAGCACCACCCGGAGGGGCAGAGGATCCGTTCTAGAACAGGTTTGTCACATTGTCTGGGGTAAGAGCAGTACTAGTGGTAAGGGCTCAAGGTAGGCTGTGGCCACAGTGCCAGGGTGGCAGAGGAAGTAGGGAGTAGGACTTTGGCGTCAGAACTGGTTTTGAAGAACTTAGTAAATTGCTGATGCTAAGTGGATGAGCCTGGACTCTTGCCAGCGGTCTGACCTTGCACACATTCCTTAAACTCTGCTCTCTAGTTGCTTAATCTTGACAGATGGAGAAATGGGGAAAATGCCTGCTTCCTGGGGTTGTAGAATTAAAGTATTTAAAGTACTTATTGTCCTGCATTGTATGTAGTAGGCGCTTGGTGAACGTTAGATTGGTACTTTTATTTTTGTTGTTTTTATTGTTAGCACAAGATGTTCGATGTCACAAGGGTTTGGTCCTTGTGCTGAAGGCCTGAAGAGTATTTGCACTTTTTAAATATAGGAGCATGTGATAAGACCTGTGTGTGTGTGTGTGTGTGTGTGTTTGGTATTTTTTTTTTTTTTTTTGAGATGGGAGTTTCACTCGTTGCCCAGGCTGGAGTACAGTGGCGCGATCTCGGCTCACCGCAACCTCTGCCTCTTGGGTTCAGGTGATTCTCCTGCCTTAGCCTCCCGAGTAGCTGGGATTACAGGCATGCACCACCACACCCGGCTAATTTTGTGTTTTTAGTGGAGATGGGATTTCTCCACGTTGGTCAGGCTGGTCTCGAACTCCCGACCTCAGGTGATCCGCCGGCCTCGGCCTCCCAAAGTGCTGGGATTACATGTGTGAGCCACCGCGCCTGGCCAAAACCTGTGATTTAGAGAGCTCTGGTGACTGTGATGCTGGATTAGAAGGAGGAGCTAAGGACTAGAGGTTGTGGACTAATTAGTGGAAGATGATGAGGGCCTGACCTAGGCTGGTGCAGTGGTAATAAAAAAAAGAAATGGATATCACTGCATGATAGAATAGACAGGACGTGGTGACCAGCGGAGTGTGTGGGAAGGATGAGGGTGGGAGAATGGAAGAGTCTCTGCAGTCTCTCGTGGATGCACAGGTGGATGGCGGTGCCTTTCGCTGAGACAGGACACCTGGGAAGATGAGCAGAGCCGAACTGGGGTGGAAGGCAATGATTTTAGGCTTGAAGTACCGAGACTCAGGTGCCTGGAGGATATCCAGAGGGCGGAAAGCAAGTTACATCAAAGGGATCACAAAGGTGAATGCTTCCCGAGGCCGGGTAGGTGATGTCAGCGGGTCAGACTGAAGCAGACAGATGATCATTTCACCTGTGAGTCAGGTCAGGCTCCTTTCTGAAACGCCCCGGTGGCTTCCCATTGCACTTACATCAGTTCCACGTTTCTTGCCACAGCCTGCAAGGTCTGATTTGAATTGGCCCTGCCTTTTTTTCCCCACCTCATTTCCTACACATTTTTCTCTCTGACTGTATTCCAGCCACAGTGATCTTAATGATTTTCAAGCATGTCAAGTTTGTTCCTGTGTCAGAGCCCCCTTCTCCCTGGCCAAGCCCTCGCCCCCAGATGTTCTCCCACTGGTTCCTCGTCAGGTAGCTCGTAGCTTGCCTGGTATCTCAGGAAAGCCTTCCTGCCTACACCGCCACATCTGAAGAGGACACTGTGTCCACCCTGTCTTGGGTTTTTTGCCTAGCACTTGTCACTACCTGAAATGCTTATGTGCTGTCTCCCTCCTTCCATTCCATGAGGCCTCAAATGTGTTTTGCTCATCAGTATCTCTCAATGCCTAGCATAGTGTCGGGCACGTTCCGCAGTATGGAGAGCCGAGTGCTTCTGGGCATTGCAGTAGGTACCAGTGAGAAAATGGGGAAGATCTGCATATTATTTATTAAAAAAAACCCAAAAACAAAAAAAACAGAAGGAGCCAAATGAGGAAGACAGGAGGAAGTTAAATGAGAGAGGAGAGCAGCTATGATCGTGACGGGGAAGTCAGTGGTAAGGTATCGCAGAGTGGTTGTCAGAGGGTCATCAAAGATTTGGCCCTGCTTGGGGTAATTGAAGTGTGCTAGCGAATCTAATTAGTCCTTGCGGTCAAGTTGCTGTGGGGTCAGCGAGATGGAAGGGTCACAGAACACTGACTTCAAAGGAGCAAATCCGGAGGGCCTGTGTGAGAGGAGTCTGATTGGGAGGCTCGTTCCTTTCACTCCAAATTACTCATCCTTTCAATCCCTTGACTTCCACAGGAGGCTCTTTTGAGGCCGGAAGCTCTTTTCACGTGTTGCCCTCTAAAGATTTCTTTGAGCAGTTTTAGTCTTTATCTTTTAGAAAAGATGAATCTCCAATGTAAAGTTGGGCAATTGATTCCGAGTCGGAAGCTTTAGGGATTGAAATGATAGTTCTAGTGAGGGTGGGTACCTGCTTTTTAACCTGGTGGGACTCGCAGCCGACTCAATACCTGGGCTCTCTGAACGTTTCCTCACGGCTTTCCTTTATCTGGAAGCGCTGGGACTTTTCGCCACGCATTGGGACTTTTCGGTTTTTCAGGCTTCTGCTTCAGTTTACCCAACCTCAGCAAACATCGTTTGCTTTGGAGAGGAACTTAAGGACTCAGCAGGAAATTGAAGATAAAATGAAAGGGTTCAGCTTCAAAGAAGACACTTTGCTGTTGATAGCTGAGGTGAGTGTATCCCTCGGGTTTATGTGAAACGAGGCATCATAGATATTTTCCCTGGTTCTGATAGCATTTTTTAAAAAGCAGGGCGAAAACTCATCTACTGAAGGACTTGTCTCCCTCCTTTGTGTGCCTTTTGATCACTCAGCAATCACCAAGGCGGCCTCTTGATCGGCATTCCCCTGCAGCGTGTGGGACGGCAGGGGCTGTGTTTCATGCACTTGTCAGCGCTTGTTAGCACCTGCCTGTCTGAACATCATCAATGACCAATAATTGTTTCAGTGCTGAATAAACGAATGAATGAATGCTTACATTTGTGCAGCAGTTCTATTTTTTTTCCTCCATTCATCATAACAGCTTGTGAAGATGAGTAGAGCTAGAACTGAGGCTCAGAGAGCTTGTGACTTTCCTTCTGGTCAGCTTTTCAGAGGCAGAGCAGGTCTGGAGCTTGTGTTTGCCAGCTGCAAGTCCATTTTATCTCTGCTCCACCCTGTTACTACTTTGCTGGTTGCATAGAAATTCAAAGGTCAGTTTTTTTAAACTAACATTTAAACCTTCCTTGGCTTTTTTTTTTTTTTTTGAGTCAGAGTCTTGCTCTGTCACCCAGGCTGGAATGCAGTGGCACGATCTCAGCTCACTGCAACCTGTACCTCTTGGGTTCAAGTGATTCTCATGTCTCAGCCTCCCAAGTAGCTGGGGTCACAGGTGTGCGCCACCATGCCCTGCTAATTTTTGTATTTTTAGTAGAGACAGGGTTCACCATGTTGGCCAGTCCGTCTTGAACTCCTGGCCTCAAGCAGTCTACCCACCTCAGCCTCCCAAAGTGCTGGGATTACAGGCCTGGGCCACCATGCCACATCTCTTCCTTTTACTTCTGAGAGGCTATGCTAGTCTGTTTTTCTCCTGTGTTTCTTAACGTTCCTCTGCCTCTTGGGACTCAGCTGGTTTCTTCTGTAGCTTAAGTAATGGCATACTAAGGATTCCCTTGGCCTCTCTGTTTTCTACTTTTCTCTCACAGAAATCATCACCACACCCCTAGGTTCCATTGTCACCTCTGGGTTGATTACTCTCCAGTCTTTATCTCTAGTCTCATCTCTGGGACATGTGTCTCACGTCAGATTAATTGCCTATAGGTGGTTAACTTGGGATAATTATTGATTACTCTTCTGTCACTTCAAGTGCAAAATGTCTAAAATGGAACTACTCATCAAAACACTTCCTGTAATCCCATCACTTTGGGAGGCCAAGGTGGGTGGATCACTTGGTCAACATGGTGAAACCCCATCTCTACTAAAAATACAAAAAACTAGCCAGGCGTGGTGGCAGGCACCTGTAATCCCAGCTTCTCAGGAGGCTGAGGTGGAAGAATCGCTTGAACCTGGGAGGTGGAGGTTGCAGTGAACTGAGATTGTGCCACTGCACTACAGCCTGGGCAACAGAAGGAGACTCCGCCTCAAAAAACAAAACACAAGAAAAACACTTCTGGTCAGTCTTTTACTTCCCCCAAGTTCTATATCCTCCAGGAAGCTTTTCTGGAATACTCTGTTCTGTTGTAATTTCTCCTTCCTCTGAGCTCAGATAGTGATTACTTGAATAGATAGCTCTTTGGCCCCTAAAAAGACATGAGAATGTGTCTTATGTTTTCATCTAGGTGTTAGGTTCCTTATATGTAATAGTATGTTTTGAGCATCTTTGTATTCTTCACCATGCTCGATAAATCTGTTGGTTGGGTGGAAGAGTAGTTTCCTATGTGGACAATGCATGTGATATACCAGTGGAGCTTTTTAAAAAGATAGAAAATGTCTGGGCCCTCGTTAGGATTGTAATTAGGATTATAATGTACATTTTGTTTTGTGCTTGTTTTTATTTTTTTAAAGATAAGGTCTCATTCTGTCACTCAGGCTGGGCTGCAGTGCATAATCTTAGCTCACTGCAGCCTGAAATTCCTGGGCTCAAGTGGTCCTATCACCTCAGCCTCCCAAGTTCATAGGATTACAGGCACCCACCACCATGTCCAGCTAGTTTTAAAATTTTTTGTAGAGGCAGGGTCTCACTATGTTGCCCAGTCTGGTCCCAAACTCCTGGCCTCAAATGATCATCCCACCTTGGCCTCCCTAAGTGCTAGAATTACAGGTGTGAGCCACCATGCGGCCTTTATTTTGTGCTTTTAATTTTAGTTGACTTGTGATAACATAACCCCATATCCTTAAATTTTCTTTGATCATATGCTTTTTTTTTTCCTGTTTATAATTCTTGTATTTGAATTAGGATCCAAACAAGGTCTAAATATTGTATGTGGTGCTTTTGTCTCATATGTGTTTTTCATTCTATAACAACTGCTCTTCTCCCTCTTTTTTACTCTGATAAAATACGTAACTTAAATTTGCCATCTTAATCATTTTTAAATGTACAATTCAATGGAATGAAGTACATATACAGTGTTGTGCCACTTTGACCACTATTTCCAAAAATTTTCATCACCCCAAACAAACTCTACCCATTAAGCAATAACTCCCTATTCCCTTCTCTCTCTACCTGCTAGAACCTCTAATCTACTATTTTGCTCTATGAATTTATCTATTCTAGATATTTCAAATAAGTGGAATCATACCATATGTGTCCTTTTGTATCTGCTTTATTTCACTTAGCATAATGTTTTCAAGGTTTATCCATATTATAGCATTTATCAAAACTTCATACCTTCT